TTTTTTAATAACAGTAGGGGAAATGTTTTAAATTGGGTTTTGGTTATCAACTTGATATGTTTTATTATTTTAAGTTTTGATTTTCAGTTTCAGTTTTTTCAGTATANACGCACCGACGAAGCTAATTTTTTAATAACAGTAGGGGAAATGTTTTAAATTGGGTTTTGGTTATCAACTTGATATGTTTTATTATTTTAAGTTTTGATTTTCAGTTTCAGTTTTTTCAGTATAAAATACTCGTTTGCATTTCTCAATTTTTGTTTTGTTGACCGTGAAATTGAATGATTTTTTTAATTAATTTTGCAAAAATCAATAAATGAACTGCATTGCGTAACAAATTGCTGTGTAATTAAAATAGTGAAATTAAAATCAAGGTAAATGAGGTAATGCGGAGATGAATGCGTGGTAATTCAGAAAAATGATAAAAAAAATTAGTGATAAAAATATAAAATAAAAAACAAAAAAAATGTCACATTTTCATCTTTGCTGTTGCTTTGTTCTTTTGCCGTTGTTCACTTTTTTATCTTCAGCCACTGTTTTTAAAAACAAAAATTATGCAAACTTTCATCAAAAACTAGCCACTTTTTATGTAGATCACTCTGAGCTGCTACAAAAAACCCTCGATCACTTTGTTCCCGACCTTTTGGCTATCAAAAAGAGTGAACACCTCCATCATTGCTACAACCGCTCCATCATTAGCAGCAAAACTGATTTGGCCAGTGGAAAAAAGATCGTCGAGAACGTGGACATCTTTTCAGACCGTTTGGAAACGATTGCAAAATCTTNAGTGAACACCTCCATCATTGCTACAACCGCTCCATCATTAGCAGCAAAACTGATTTGGCCAGTGGAAAAAAGATAGTTGAGAAAGTGGACATTTTTTCAGATCGTTTAGAGACCATTGCAAAGTCCTTCTTTGTAAACATTTTTTACGTTTAAAAACTGAGGTTTTTTTTATCAAAATCTTTTTCACTTCAGGCACACAACATTCACTACTTTGACAAACAGGAGCAAAGTGGCCAAAAGCACCTTCTCAAACGTCGACTGGACGTTTTGCTGGAAAACCTGGTCAAATTGGCTGGCTACGTAAAACAGTGCGTCAAAAATCGAGAAAATGGGGAAAATGGAGAAAAAGTAGAAAATGAACCAACAACTGTCGTCGGCCTAACTTCAATGATCTTCTATGTAAAATTTTTAAAAAAATTTTAAATTTTAAACTTAAAACATTTTTCTTTTGTTAGTCAGAAGAGGAGTTTCGCACCTCCATTCTCAACCACCACCTTGCTGAAACGCTGTCAACTCCAACCAATCAGTCCATGGATTCTTCTCCTTTTTCAAATGAAACTGAAAACACGTCTTCTTCTGATGATGATGAAAATGAATATGAATACGAGCTAAACCGTCGACGAGCTAAATCAGCCGCCTGCCACCCCACTTTACTTCCCAACGAGAGCATCCCCACTTCTTGGAGCTGGAAAGAGCAACGGAACAACTCCATCCTTTCACCAGTGTACGACCAGGGCAGGTGTTCCTCATGTTACGTCTTTGCCACCACCGAGGCCCTCGAAGCTCAGTACCGACTTCACTACCCAAAAAATACCTCCCAGTACTTCCGCCTAAGCGTCCAGGCGACGCTAAATTGCGTCGAACACGGCTGCCAAGGCGGAACACTGGAGAAACCGTTGGCCTACTTTAAACGTTGGGGTCTTCCCCTAATGTCCGCCGCCCCTTATCAGGGCCGGGTGGCCCCTGGCGGCGGTAGCTGTAAAAAGTACCGAAAGATCGAGGTGAAACCGAAGATCACCTGCTTCGACACCTGTGATAAGCGGGTGGAGACGATGCAGCTGATGGTGTGGAAGCGGGGACCGGTGGCCGTGTCCTTTAATGCCCAAACAGAGGGGGAAAACGAAAAAAACATGTGCGACAAGTTTCGCTTCTTTAGGGGCTCCCTTTGGGAGGAGGACTGCTCCGACGGTCCGCCCAATCATGCGCTGTTGTTAGTGGGATGGACAGCCAAACGAGAGTGGATTCTCAAGAATAGCTGGGGTAAGAGTCTTTTAATGATAAGAGTGCTTATCAACAGACTTATTAAAACTTATCAACCGTACATAAAGGAGAAAACTGGGGCGACGAAGGGTACTTCCGGCTGCCGATGGACAACCGCCCCCGCTGCGGCATCACGCGGATGATGGGCCTGTCGCTGTTAGATAGAAAAAAGCTAAAGTAATATAATTTTATTGGTAAAAATTGGTTAGACATCATTAATCACTATCACTACTACTATCTTCATCTTCATTGGTGTTTACATAATCCTCATCAGTATCAGCTGTTGCTGCTCTTTTTGCTTTTGTAAAAGATAAATAAGTTTTTAGTTTCCTCGTTGTGGTTATCTCCTTTTCATTAGAGCAGGCAGTTTTTCGTTTTCTAGTTAAATGAGAATTTTGAAAATGCTTGCCCGAGTGAACAATACTGTCTTCCTCTTCTTCCTCTTCATCCTCTTCAAAAAACTGCAAACGATCATCGTCGTGTTCAACTGAAGGCCACTGAGGTTCCATTGTTACATCTTTATTATTTTGATTTTTTAAAGATTGTGCAGTTATGGCATTTCCTTTAGTTGAACGAGCTCGAAGTTTTGTTTTTAAGGAAAAAGTTACACTGTTTGCAGAAATTTGTCCTTTTTCAGAAAACTCCTCAAAAAACGAGTCGTTCTTGTCATCATTATTTTCATTTTCATCTTCTTCTTTTCTATTAATTGTTTTTCTAAAACAATCCATAAATTTTCCTTTATATCTACTATGGTGTGATTTTCTTAAAAAAGGAAAGAAAGGAGGTCGCCATTTTAAGTCAGAAAACTGTGTTTTTTCCCACCGCAAATACTTTTCATCTACTTTAAGGCTCTTGTTTAAGGTTAAAGAATCGGGATTATTTTTTTCTTGTTTTTGCTTACTGCAACACTGGCGAATGTGCTCTAGAATAGTGGATTTTTCCCTTTTTGACAGGCCGCACTGCAAACACCGGAATGGCTTTACGCCTTGGTGAAGGCGATGATGTTCTTTCAAAAGTTCAATATTGGAAAACTTTTTTCCACAGTTGACTTGCTGGCAAATAAAGACGACGCGTTTATGGCAGGTAATTCGACAGAAAATGAAAACGTTGTTTTGATCATTTGTATCTTTTTTCTTTCCTTTAACTTCTATCTGAAGGAAATACGAAACGGATAAGCGTTTTACTGCACGACACAACATCGCTTTTTCCTCATCCAGCAACTGTTGATTTATTTTAAAACACCTAGTAGGCCAATTTTTTTCAAATTTGTTTTTGTGAACTAGATGAAAGTGTCTTTTTATGTTAACTTCGGTCATTGCACAATAGTTGCACTCTTGACATTGAAATGGTCTTTCCTTTCGATGATAACGGTCGTGATTAACTAATGTACTAAAACAAGACCACTTTTTTCCACAGTTTGGTCGCTGACAAATGTAGCGAATGTGTCCGTCACTGTGAGCCACCTGGCACAGGAGTACATCATCATGACTCCTTTTCTTATCTTCTCTTCCTTTTTGGCGTCTACTGGGCTTTTCTTTTGTGTCAATGATCAGCTCATCGTTTTCATCATCGTCGTTTTCGTCGTCATTGTCGTTGCCATTGTTGTCACCGTCGCCGTCGTCGTCATCTTCATCATCATCAATTTCATCCTCATCCTCATCCTCAAAACCACTTTGTCTGTCTTTGCCAACTTTTCTTTTTCGTTTTCTTTCACCCCTCAACTCAGATGTATCACTATTACTCTGCAGTTTAGCATGCTTTTCCAGGTAGTGCTCCTTCACGCTGCGCATCCCTTTGACGCTGGCGTAGTCGCACTGCTCAAAGGTGCACCGGTACAGCTTTAGCTTGCTGTGGTGAGCCTTTGAGCAGTGACGGTAGTAATTGGAAAAGCTTGCAAACGACTGGCGACAGCTGGTGAACTGACAGGTGAAAGTAGTGGTGAGAGTGGTGTCGATTGGAGGTGATTCAAGAACTGGCGTGATAGTGGTGGTGGTGGTGGTGGTAATGGTGGTGATAGTGTTGGTGGTGGTGATAGAGTTTGTCGCCCTTAAACTTCCACTTCCACTTCCACCACCATCGATGGAGGAGTTTGCGATGATCATCCCATTTTGAGCAGCAGCAGTCTGCTGCAGGTCATTCTCCTTCATTCGGCACTGTTCAGTGCCCAGCCAGTGCTTTATTTCCACTCTTTCTTGATCTATCCACGCCTCATCCACCTCGATGTACCTTTGAAAGCGGTGATTCTGATCAGCACTGTCTGTAGAGGTGGAGGGCACCGCGGCGTAGTGAAGCTGTTGCAGGTGCCCAAACAGCTCCGCCTGCTCGGCAGTGCGCAGCGAACAGAGGCGGCACTGAAAGGGCTTCACCTGGCTGTGGGAGCGGTCGTGAGTGAGCAGCTGATGCAGTGAGCGGAAACGAGCCTGGCAGCCAGCTTGACGGCAGATGAAGAACTTGCTAATGTAAGATTTGCCCTGTCTGCTCGTTTTAAACACTGAATTGGTCTCTTCAGTACTTTGTGATGATGATGATGGTGGTAGTGGTGGTGGTGGCGTTGATGCTTGATTGTGTACGGAAGATTGTGACAGGTGATTATCAAAACTGACACAGCTACTGCTGTTGTTGTTTTCTGGTTCAGTATCTTTGCTTTTACCACTGCTGCCACTGGCGTTGGCATCGTCATCCGACTGACTTGATTGGCTTCGCAACGACATTGATATTCTTTTTGGCTTCAAACTTTGGTTCTGCTCACAAGAAGAGGCCTCTTCTTGAGCAGCAGCAGCAGCAGCAGCAGCAGAATCAGCAGCGGCCCAGCTCCGGTGTTCATCACTGGTCAGCCATCGGGTGAGCTCCGCTGATTCCTGGCAAAGTGCAGCCTGATCAGGCCGGCACAAAGATTTTTTCGTTTTAAGGTATTGTTGGTAGTGCTGAGCCAAAATGTGAGTCCAGATGTTGGCTTCTTGCGCACTGGAGTGCTGACAGACTAAACACTGGAACGGTTTGAGGCGGGTGTGCACTCGGTCGTGATTACGTAGGAATCGATAGGCGGTAAAGGATTTTCCGCAAAACCTGCAGTACTTGGTAGCAGGCAAGGAAGTTGAAAACACAGTCTTTTGTTGTTTTTGCTGTTGATTTCTTTCCTCCTCGTCCTCTTCTTCTTCTTCTTCTTCACCTGTTCTTTGGGAACAGCTATTTTCCACGTCATTTTCAGTGGCAACATTTTGAGACTGCTCATTTAAAAAAAGTGAGGGAGAAGATGTTCTATTCACTGTGACAACAGCAGCAGCAGACGGCTCAACATTTCCTTCATTTGAAGGTTGAGAATAATCAGCTGAGTGCTCAGAAGGAGCACAAAAAGTGCTCAAATTTGCATTCTCAACTGTTCCAAGTTGTTCTTTTTGCTGTTGTTTATCTTCTTTCTGTTTATTTATTTGCTGACCTGCATTTGAATGTTCAGCTGCTTGATTCTCATTGTCAGCATTACTTTGCTTAGAAACGGATCCATAATCGGGAGGATCTATTATTTGACAGTCATCAGACTCGCCATTGGACTCATCTTCTGAGTCGTAAATGGTAATACACTCTACTAGTGCAGTTGTGGTAGAGGTAAGTTTTAGTTGATCCTTCTTTTTATCAGTTTGTTTTAAATTTTGATCATTATTTGAGCCATTATTACTGATCGCAAGCTGGTTCAAATGTTTAGGCACATGGATGCTGGGGATAGCAGTTTGAGTACAGCAGTCATCAGTATTTGATTGTTGATTATCATAAAGTGATGAAGTAGTTTCCGTAGCATTAGAAGTCAGGTTTGACATCTCAGAAATGATTTGCTGTTTTTCATCATTGTCATTTGCTTTCTGGTCGGCGGCTTCTACAAATTCATATGCTTCATTTTCACTCCAAAATCCTGATGTTTGAGTGAGAGAAGTTGATGGTGCTCGAACGTCATTGTCAGCATTTGACTGCTGATCATCAACTGAAGATTGATTGTCATTATTAGAAATTAAATTTGAAGTTTGTTGTGCATCATCAACAGTAATTTGCTGCTGTTGGGCAGCTTCTTCCCTGCTAGCTGTTTGGTCACTGGTTTCTTCTTCAGCCTCACCGGGAGTTTCATTTTCATTCAATGTTTCACATGTTTGAGTGCTTGCATTGGAAATTTGTGAATGATTAGCATTATGCTCATTAGCGCCGTTTACTGGTGGATAAAAAGGCTGAGTAACGTAGTTGGGAAATTGTCCATAATTAAAAATTGCAGGTTGTGCAAACAGCGTTACAGGTCCTGAAAATGGCAGTGGTGGTGGTGGATACTGAATTAATTGAAATGCTGGCGCCTCAGAAATGATTGCATTTTGGTTTGGCATTGTTTGAATGAAGGTAAAACTTTGTTGAAACGGCAGTGCTGCTGGTTCTGTTGATAAAGTTGCCACTGAGAGGGGTAACTGAAATGATGGTTGTGCTGGTGCTGGTTCTGGTGCTGGTGCTGATGTTGGTTGTTGCTGTGAAGGTGACAGTGGTTGTGGTAATTGAGACATTTTGTAAAAATTTAAAAATTTTAGTTTAAATTAAAAAAGTTTCAAGATTTAAAATAATATTTTTTAGAAAATCAGTTTTTAATTTTTTTGCTCAGTTGAATTGCCCTTTTCTCTTTCTCACTATTATTAGCTTGATCACATTTTAATTGATTTTTTCACTGTTGCAATTGCTGTTGCTGCTGTGTTGCCAAGTGGCCCAGCAAATGTGGTCTGGTTACAAACTAGCTAAAGAACAGTTGCTGGCGCACAGTTGAGCCTGCTTTGAACTTAACCAAACTAAAACGAACTTTCCCGTGCCAGCATGCAAGCAACGGTGTTTGCGTGCCAGATCGTTGCGTTTACTCTGCACTAAGCACTGTCAAGCCCCTTTCCCTGTCTTCTCCCAGTACAAACGAAAGCTTTTTCAGTATTCATTTACCAAATTCTTTGAGACTACCAGCCTAGAGAAAGAGAGAAAACGACAGCTCCTAACGCTCATCAACACAACTCTACGGACCGGCAAGTTTAAATGAGAAAAATAATTTAAAACTCGCAACTGTTTGCTTTTAATTAAGTTGTCAACAGCAACGACTACAACAACTAACTGTTTAAGCTTAAGCTTATTAAGCTGTTTTTGCTGTTCAGTTTTACTTTTGTTTACTTTTGATTTTAAAAAATTTCAAAAAAAATGAAGAAGAAGAAGAGGAGGAGGAGGAGTTTAAATGGTGTTCATGTACACAACGGTACAGAACTAGGACACCTCGGTAAAAGACACGGTCGTGCTGCTTTGGCTGGCTCAGGTTGGCAAATTCTTTGTCGCAAATGTCCTGTTGACAGATGAAACGAAAGTAATTGCCGCTGTTGTGGTGATCATCGGGAGTAATGCAGCCAATAAATAGAGAATGAGGATCAGCTTTTTCATGATTGTTAGAAGTAATTGTGCTAGTACTGTCTCCTCCTGCCTGGGCCATTTTTATTTTCTTTTTTTCTTTCGAAAATGTGATCAGCGATTTGTCGATGACTTGTTTTTGTCATTTTTTTAAAATTGTAATTGAAATTAGTAGCTGCAAAAAGACTGAGAAATTGATCAGCCACTAAAACAAAGTCACTAGCAAATTACTGTTTGGTGTGTGTGTGTGTGAGCACTTGTTTTCTAATCAATTATTAACAAAGAACAATTTGGTTTGGTTTGGTTTTCTAGTAACATAACACAGGAACACGCACAAACCAAATATTAATTAAAACTGAATTTTCGGTGGCCGATCAATTGAGGTTTTTTTAAAAGTTGCAATAGTTTTAAACTTGGTGGGTCACAAAACGGCGGTTGTAAAAAAGTGGTTTTGCAGGAAAGTTGCTTGCTGGCACACAAAAAAACTAAGCTGAGCAATGAACTAAAAAATTGCAGTTTGTTTGCTCATTTCAAAACCAAAAACAAATGTCTAACCAAATAATACAAGCTTTCTATAGTTTCAAAAAAATTTTTAATTGCTTCTTCCTTTTTACTCTTTTATCCTTAAACTTTTCAGCCATTTTAGCGCATTATACGAATGCAAAGTTAGTAATTCAAAGTGTTATTTCGAATCTTTTAATATAGTGAGATTATTACAAAAAAACTAAAACTAAACCAGAACATACAGACAATAAATTACTGTAGTAGTTGTAAATAAAAGCCTTAAAAATAAATTGTAAAAGCCAAACACCTGCTTTCAAAACTTTTCAATCTTTAGCAGCCATAACCGCACCGGCCAGCCGCACCCTCTCCGCCTCCACCAGCATCGTCTGCTCAAGGATGAAGCTCTCGGGAAAGGGCAGCGAGGGGTCGACCGCCCCCGTGACTCCCTTCTTCCGCTGGCTCTTGTGCCGCTTCAGCAGGTGCGCCTTGACGGCGCATCGCTGCGCAAAGGTCATTCCACAGCCGTTGAAGGTGCAGCTGTAGGGCTTCAGACCCGAATGGGTGCGATCGTGGTAGCAGTAGTCGCGAAAGGAGGCAAAGTTGGCGCGGCCGCAGTGCCGGCAGACCAGCGACCGAGCGTCGATGCTCTTCGCCGAGGTGTCCAGCTGCTGCTGCTGCTGGTGATAAGCAAAGTTTGTGCTGCTGTTTTCAGTCTCATTTTCAGTGTCAGTGTTGGCAGCAGCAGCAACAGCAGCTGAAGCAGAAGTCGAAGTTGAAGCAGAAGTCGAAGTGGACGCTCGAGTGGCTCGAGAAGAAGTAGTAGTAGTGCTCGGAGTATTTGGAGATGGTTTCACGGTTTCTTTTCCTTTCACTGGAGAAGAAGAGGGAGGAGGAGTGTCCGCCTCAATGTCCTCAGTCTCGGTGGCCTCGGTGGAGCTTTCGGTGTTCTTCTGCTGATCCTGATCCTGATGATCCTGATCACCACTACCATCACCCCCTTCTTCATCTTCATCCTCAGCTGTCCTCTGCGAATCATCGTCATTGACACCCTTCTCCTCCTCTACTTTGACAGGAACAGTGGTCTGATGGTCAAGGTCAGCAGTGGTGAAAGGCTGATCACCCTCCTCCTCCTCCTCCTCCTCATCATCATCATTGGTAACAGTGGCTGAAGGTGCAGACGAGGTGAGGATGCTAGTTCTTTTCAGCGGCGACTGACTGCGAAGTTGATGAGTAGCAGCAGCAGCAGCAGCCGAGACTCCGCTTTTCACCACCTCAGCACCACCACCACAACCAACTCTAGAGCCGCCGGAAATGGACTTCCGGTTAGAAGCCAAAGCAGCAGCCGCAGCAGCAGCAGCAGCAGTTCGCGTAGTTTGCGCCACGGCGGCGGCCGCCACGGCAAAAGCAGCAGCAGCAGCCGAATTTCGGTTGCCCTGCTGTTGAAGCTGCATTCCAGGCATGACAACTCTTCGAGAATTGATGGCTGTTGATGATCCACCANTCCTCATCATCATCATTGGTAACAGTGGCCGAAGGTGCAGCCGAGGTGAGGATGATGCCACTTCTTTTCAGCGGCGACTGACTGCGAAGTTGATGAGTAGCAGCAGGAGCAGCAGCAGCAGCCGAAACTCCGCTTTTTACCACCTCAGCACCACCAACTCTAGAACCGCCAGAAATGGACTTCCGGTTAGAAGCCAAAGCTGCAGCAGCAGCAGCAGTTCGCGTAGTTTGCGCCACGGCGGCGGCCGCCACGGCAAAAGCAGCAGCAGCAGCCGAATTTCGGTTGCCCTGCTGTTGAAGCTGCATTCCAGGCATGACAACTCTTCGAGAATTGATGGCTGTTGATGATNGCATTGCCGGATAAGGCATGACAACTCTTCGAGAATTGAGGGCTGTTGATGATCCACCACCACCAGCATTGCCATACTTCGACGGCTGCACCTGCAGCTGCGGCAACTTCCGCTGCAAGTACTGCTGAACGTTCTGTCCCACCGAGGACATTCTCGCCTTCTTCAGGGGCGGCTGCTGCTGAGCAAGAGCAGCACTACTTTTAGGAAAGTTGGGGACCACTCCTCCTCCTCCTCGATTGGCAGAAGCCAATTCAGAGCCGTCGAGTGGGCGTTTGGCGGAGCTTGGAGGAGCTTGCAAGAGATTCCGCTGTAGCTGCCGTTGCTGTTGTTGCAGGCGCTGAAACTGCTGCTGCTGCTGCCGAAACTGCTGCAGCTGCTGCTTCTGCTGCAGTTGTTGCTGCCCCTGAAGTTGTTGCTTTTGTTGCAGTTGTTGTTGTTGTTGCTGCCTCTGCTGTTGATGAACTTGTTGGTACTGCTGCTGCTGCCGCTGATGAACTTGTTGGTACTGCTGTTTTGGCTGCTGCTGCTGCTGATTCTTCTTCTGCTGCAAACTCTGCATCTGTTGCAGCTGCTTCTGCTGCTGCTGCAGCTGTGCATAAACCCGAGCACTGTTTCCCGGCAGCTGTGGAGGAGCTGTGCCATTCCTCTGAGCCTGTGAGCCACTACCACCACCACCACCACCACCGGCGCCCATCATCTCCACGACATCGGACTCCTCAATCAGCCGACGACACTCCTCACTGGCCACCCACTGGTCCATCTCCACCGCCTCTATGTCCAGTGCCTCCTCGTCGACCTCGACGTGACAGCTCAGTTTGCCGATAAAGGTTCGCCCGTCTTCGACGGTCATCGTCGGGAAGTGCCGCCTTNTGCCTCCTCGTCGACCTCGACGTGACAGCTCAGTTTGCCGATAAAGGTTCGCCCGTCTTCGACGGTCATCGTAGGGAAGTGTCGCCGGCGGAGGTGTTTCATCATCGCCCCCTGGTAGGAGGACCGGTGCTGGCAAAGGCGACAGGCAAAGGGCTTAATTCGACTGTGCATTCGGTCGTGCTCGCGGAGGTTGTGAATGTGCGGGTAGCGATTGCCGCAGCCCGAGTAGCGGCAGATGAACTGCAGATAGGGCCCCAGTACCGCTCGGTTGTAGGCAGCATTAGCTGGCCCCAGCTTCGGTGGACGGCCTGGAGGTCGAGGGTGGGGAAAGGTTTTCTGCTGCTGCTGCTGCTGTGGTGGTGGTGGTGGACGTTGTTGTTGAAGCTGTTGTTGTTGTTGAAGTTGAAGCTGTTGTTGACGTTGTTGACGTTGTTGGAGTTGGAGTTGCTGAAGATGCCGTTGTTGGAGTTGAAGCTGCTGCTGCTGTTGTGGTCGGTTTCGATTTTGGTTGATGTTCGGAGCAATTCGAAAGTGTCCCTGGTAGTAGGGAGCAATGGCTCTATCATTTGAGCCAGAGGAGGATGAGGATGGGCCGGAAGCCGAAGAGGAGCTTCTGTTGCCTCTGAGCATTTTGTTTTGCAGAAATGGTGAGCTGAGATCTGTTGTGAAAGTAGAATCGGTTAGAAATCAGACAGACAGAATAAAAACGGGGCCGAGAGTGCTCGATCACACATTGGTGTGCAGAGGTTATCCCTACCAGAGCTGAAGGATGGAAGAGAAGAATTTCTTTGAATTCTTCTCTGAGATCCAGCAAAACTAAAATCAGTCGACGAGAAGTGAAAGAGGAGGAATTTGGAAACCAAAAGAATCGAGCGACAGAGAAGAGGCAACAAC